ATATATATATATATATATATATATATATATATATATATATATATATATATATATATATATATATATATATATATATATATATATATATATATATATATATACTGGTGTTTCTTGGTGTGATTCAACTCTGACCATAAAACTTTTAATATATATATATATATATATATATATATATATATACATACATACAGCATTATATATATATATATATATATATATATATATATATATATATATATGAGGTTGCGCTGAAAATCTCTCAGTATTCTGACATTTATCCATTGAAATACTGGTTTTCTAAAGCGATTGTGGCCGATAAAATTTCAGCAAACCCATTTACTCGTATATATATATATATATATATATATATATATATATATATATATATATATATATATAACCATATGTGTGTGGAAGCATATTTCCTTGATTTATTCGCTCGAAGATAACTCCTCTAGTTTCTTCTCTTCTTTTTTTCACTCACACATAAGCTTGGAATGTATAATATAATATCTGTGAGCTGGTCTTCGATTGTTTAGTGTCTATAACATAAATAAACATTATTGGATACTGCCGACAGACGGATCACGTTACAAAGTAAGCTTCTCCTCACAGCACTTAAAATTATTAGCAACGGAATTCCCAGCGAGGCCTCCCAGCGCCACGATAGACTATCAACTAAATAATTGTAATATTGTCGACCAGATATTAGAAACGCTACATTGTTGATGGTGGTATAAATCAGAATAGTCTGGATGCAAGCAAATCATTAAATGGTGACTTATATATAAGCGAGGTAGAACGGCTCTAAATCGTGATTGTGTTGGTTAGGTGAGCCTAGTTACATCTACCACATAAAATAATCTCTCGTATCCCCGGATGTAGGAATCAAATACCATGAGATTAATGTTACTAACGAAATTTTTAAAACTATATTGTTAACTTACCCGCTTCAACGAGGTAAAAATTTCGAAATTCGTCCTATAATGAAAGTAGAAAGATTTTATTAGGTATGCTGTTAGTGGAAGAATAATACGGAACTGCAGTGAAAGAAGATTGTGTTCCGCCAGTGTTCAAAGTAGGGAAAATGTTAGTTTGGGTTATTTAATTTAACGACATATCAAACAGTGTTGGGTTATTTAATGTCGAACAGACGTCATATATATTAAAAATTTCATCGAATAAATAATTTCTTCGTTGGTTTTGTTGAGTGGGACATCAACCTCTTTCAGTTATTTAATGGCGTAATTTTAAAACATTGGACACAACTTTATGCTTCGAACTACAAATACTTTGTACCTAATGTTTTTACTTTCAAGATAAAGGTATATTTTTTGTAGATATATAGTTTGTAGATATAAAATGTAATAAAATGTAATGTTGGTAATTTTACTATAAAAATGTATATTTTATTTTTTTGCTGTTGCATTGATTGTCCTTTTGCTATAAAAATGGACTGTTGATTTTTGTTTGGAAGTTCAGTATTTGCCCATAGCTGGGAATTTAAAAGATGCGACCACTACGTGTGATGGTGGACCTGGGAACAGCAGCAACTGAGAAATGGCTCCACGCTCCTCAAAACCTCCAATCTCCCGATCAGAGGCCTTGCTGCCGGATGTAGTTTATCGTCTTACCCAGTACGATTGAATGAATAGATAATCTGGTTTACATAAGAGTAAAAAAAATATAGACATAGGTCCTGTTTAAAAAGTTAGACGTAGGTAAACTTTACATAAAAATCAAATAGGTAGACATCAATTTAGTTTACAGAAGAAAAATATATATAGTCACGGGTTCGGTTAATACGAGATACACAAAATTAAAACAGACTGGGTTTACACGAGATTGAAAAAGGTAGAGATAGTTTCGTTTAACATTAATATCAAAAGATACATAGATCCAGTGTGAACTGGACATTTATAGGCATAGATTTGCTTACACCCCTTTTACAAAGGTAGACTGAGTTTCGGTTTACCCTAAAGCTAAATACGTAAAGATATGTCCAGTTTGCACAAGAATAAATATATATACATACGTTCGGATTACACTACGCTCAGAAAGTTAGAAAAAGGTTCGGTTTACTTGAAATTCAAATTGTTAAACATAGACTAAGTTCATGTTAGATCCAAAAAGGTAAACATAAGCTCGGTTTAATTGAAAATAGTTACAGATTGATCCGTTTTATACTAAAGTAAAATTCCGAGACGTGTGTCCGGTTTACGCTGTAGTAAAAAAATCTTTATCTATACAAGGCAGGATGTGTGTGTGTAATGAATGCACGGCCGCAATTTTCGACGGATTTGCACCAAAATTTACATGCACATGCTCCGAGTTAGCGGGAATGCCAAGACCGACGTTGCATTTCCCAACTCCCATCGGTAACGGAAATAATCGATATTTTCATGCTTCTACGGCAGTTTTCATGTAGTTTGCGGCCATTTTGTACTTGCCAGAGTGAGAGCCTTGGCTGACATAAATAGGCAGGAAGATTCTATTGGCCAGCGTGAGAGCCAACAGCTGACTGACACGAATGTTAACTAGCATGCAAAAAAAAAATCGATAGCTGCATTCGTCACAAGTGGGAAAAATTTAAAACTGCATGACACTTTACTCCAATTGGTTCATTCGCTTGATTAAACTCAACGTTGATTCTGATTCCGCAGTAATGGGTTGGGTGTGAAAAAGTATTTGTTGTTAACATTCTTTTCTTTAATTCGGTTTTTCCAGTTACGAGTCCTTTTTTAAAGCTGATCGTTTTGTGTTCATTTTGTTTAGTTCTTTTTTGCAGTGTGAGATAGGCAAGAAGTAAGGCATGTAGCAATATCATCACAGCAAAGGGCACCCCTTTAAAGGCAAGGAAGGGCAAAAATATTTGGAATCCAGTGATAACGATTGCTGTATGAGTCGTACGATTTTTGAATCAAGCACGGGCAACGCCGGACCATGCTGCTAGTGATAGATATTGGTAAACATTTATAAAACAATATTAGAAATTATTCGATTTGCACAAGTTCCTAAAATAGACATGCAACAAATAGACACTAGAATAAAAAAAAAAAAATCTGGTATAGTTTCAGTTTACATATGTATCTGTTAATCAGATAGGTATAAGTCCGCTTTATACCAAAATCAGATTGTATTGGAAGATGTTTCTCTTTTTTTAAATATTCTATGCTCTGCCTTATACGGACTGCGTTCTTCAGGTGATTGGAATGTAGAACTGAACCCTTTATTTCGCTCACTGGGGTAGACTGTTCTAGTTCCACGTGCCATTAGACATAATGGATGTCAGTTGTCAGTTATCTCCTGCTAATTCCCATTCTCTACCGCCTTAACCAGATATTGAACTCACACTCTTTGGGTCTGTCACTGGATCAAACTAACGCCTTTATTCACTGTCATGTGTCCTTGAGGACATCTGGTTATGAATTTCTGGGTATTATAAAGCTAGGTTTATAATACCCAGAAATTCATACCCAGATGTCCTGAAGGACACATGGCACAGTGGATAAAGGCGTTAGTTAGATCCGAAGCTTGATTCAAAAATCGTACGACTCATACAGCAATCGTTATCACTGGATTCCAAATATTTTTGCCCTTCCTTGCCTTTAAAGGGGTGCCCTTTGCTGTGATGATATTGCTAAGAGTGGGAGTTCAATATCTTGTTAAGACAGAAGATAGCTGATAACGGATATACATTAGGTATGGCACGTGGAACTAGAACAGTCTACCCCAGTGAGCGAAATAAAGGGTTCAGTTCGACATTCCAAACACCTGAAGAACGCCGGAGCGTACAACGGCTGTTGTGATAAGTATGGCGACAAAGATAAGGAAAATACTCCGAATGATGTAAATAGTGTACATAATACCTCATCTCAGAAATATAGACAGATAATGATCTACATTATATATCAATCAGTTATGTGCCATGCATGATACCCGCTTAGGCGATCATGTATCTTTCCATTGCCATTTCTTTCTTCGGTAGACAAGCTGCCATCCAAGACCATAGAATTTACCCATAGCTAGGCAGAGAAGAAGATTAATACCTTTCCCAAAGGTATTAGCACGTAAATGACTGTAATGGATTCGAACTCGGCTATCCGATTCCTCAATCCGAGCCACTATCCATTATCCAACCTGCGCTTTATATAGTGATTTCCCAAGCGTAGCTTAGGTGTGGCACAAGGCCGAAAGTATGGGGCATCTAGTGAGAATCGAACTGACTACTCAGTCGTAATTGTTACAAACTTGTAAACCATTACACATTACCGTGGGCTTTATATACGAATGCACTAAATACTGGTTTTTGCTTCATTCTCCGAAAATTCTTTATATAGGAAAATATATAGAAAATGGATAGTAACAAGGTACACATACATAACAAAAGGAAAAGTAGAAAAGCAAAGATTATAACGGGGAAAAAAGAAAGAGAGAGAGAGTGTGTGTGAGAGAGAGAGAGAGAGAGAGAGAGGTCTGTGAAAGAGAAGGCGAGTAAGAGATAATAAAGTGAAGAGGAAAGGGACGGGAATCTACGCAGACAGCTAAATACACGGATGGAGTCTTAAGTTGGACCATTTAGCAATATAATGAAGTGGCGAAAAGAAATGAATTTCTATTTCAGTTATAACAGATTGAATCACTTTCGGTTTTCCAACATATACCTCCGCTCACACGCCATACTCCCCTCCCAAGGTGGAGAGGCGGTTTGTCATTCGAAGGCGGTAACTAATAAACTGCGATGCAATTATAAATTTCGTTAAACAAGACGATAAAAAAATTCGAGTTTGATTGCAACGAGGTATCAGCGTTCTTTATTTCTTGTTAGTATCTCTTTCGTGTTTTTGTTCCATTTTTCTCTTCTGTTTATATGAATTACCATTTCTTTTTTTTATATTTTCTTCTATGTAATTTTGTTTCTTCCTTCCTTTTGTATTCTTTGATATTAATTCCTTTCTTTCTTGCTTAATGTTTTATTTCTTACTTTCTTAAAATGTTGCATGATTTGCTTCTTTCTTTCTTTCTTTCTTTCTTTCTTTCTTTCTTTTTTCAGTTTTACATCTTTTCTATTTTCTGTTTTCCTTTTCTCTTAAGATTTTGCATCTTTTCCATTTTCTTTCTTTCTTTCTTTCCTTTTTTCTTTCTTTCTTTCTTTTTTTCTTTCTTTTTTAAGATTTGAATTTTCTATTTTCTCTATTTATCTGTCTTTCTTTTTTCTTAATGTTTTACATCTTTTCTATTATCTGTTGTCTTTTTCTGTCTGTCTTGCTTTCTTTTTCAATATATTACATTTTTCTATTTTCTTTCTTTCTTTCTTTCGTTCTTTCTTTCTTTCTTTCTTTCTTTCTTTCTTTCTTTCTTTCTTTCTTAATGATTTACATCTTTTCTATTTTTTGTTTTTCTTTCTTTCTCCATAAAACTCATCTTTTGTCTTTTCGACCAGTTTTCTAAACTTTTCCCCTTTCCTTTACACTTTTCTAATCATTTTCCTTTTCCATTTCTCATTCTTACATTCTCAGTCTTCTAATTCATCTTCTCTGCCCCTCCTCCTCCACTGCCCCTCCTCCTCCACTCCCCCTCCTCCTCCCCTCCTCCTCCCCTCCCCCCCTCCTCCCTCCCTCCTCCTTCTCCTTCTTCTTCTTCTTCTTCTTCTTCTTCTTCTTCTACCTCCCTATTTCGTTCTCGATAGTCCGTAAATGGCAATCTATTAATAATTGAACTTGGAAAGACACCTGCACAGTAATTAAGAGTATATTTGGCTTCATGATGTTATCAACGGTGGTCTCTAAATCGCTGTGGTAGAGTTAATTATATATATATATATATATATATATATATATATATATATATATATGAATGTGTGTGTGTGTGTTTTTGTGTTTGGATATATACTTGCGTCTGTCCATGTATTTTATAGAAAACGAGCAACAGCGCACACAGATAATGTAAATGATATTCACAGACGGTAAATAAATTTGCACCACTATGACGGACGATGCAGACTTTGAAGAAACTGCAGGATGTGCATGTTTGAGAGTAGCCATTTTCGCCCATCTAGTGACGTTGTGTCACTCATGTCATGCATTTCGCTGCCTGAGCTCTCTGCAACACCATTCATTTGTGGTGAATGTGTTCGGTACAAGCGAATGAAATGAAACGGAGATGATGCACATATGCTCCTTAGAACCGTTTGGATGGAATCGGCATTGTCGACATTCGCGAGGCTGCGTGGGCCTTCATCAGAATTGCTCCACATGCTGAATATAGCTCGTTACTGAAATTAGCAGTGTTTCGTTCTGTGTTTCCACACTATTACATAAAATAGTATCAACGAAAAGGACGTTTTCTTTTAGAGTCTTAGCGGCATGGATTCTAAGAGGAAATGACGTCATAGGAACACATGTCATAGACTGACTTAGCGTAGACTTCGCCGGTCGCCAACCTGGATGTGGGATGCGTGTCGACGTTTCAGAATTCTTGCGACACTTTGTTGAATTCGCACTATTTTGGATATATCAAAAATCCAAACAAAGTTAACCCACCACTCTCAAAAGAAGACACTCTGCCAATCACTGACCTTTCTGGCCCTGGTCTTCTCATTCTGTAACAATATCAATTGTCAAATGAATATTCGTATATTCTTAGACAAGGTTCTGGATGGTCAGTCATTACAATCATTCGCCAAGATTGTTAAATGTAGACTGTACCGATTTGAGAGAAGAAATAGGAGCAAATATGGAGTATCAACACGCGCTATTGTGAATTTTTATTCATGTAAATCAGGGTTATGGGCACACCTAGATTTATCTGGACTTCGGTCTGATCAACAGCCTAGTTGTGAATGTCTTCAGGGCCTTCGAGAAGTGATCAGTTAAGCCAAGATTTTCTAAACTTCTCGATTAGGTTAAGCGTTTGATTGGAATAAATGATTTCTTTTTTGTCGGGACCTAATACTTTAATATTTATAAATACGAAGAAAAAACAATAAATTTATTTTTAACGCATTATTTACAAAAACAAAAAATTGTTTAAATTTAATGACTAATGTCTATCTGTTGTTTTGAGGTATACAACTATTCGAAATCGAACAGGGTCGATGTAACTTGTAATTTTATATTATTCTTTGCATTTTAATTGTTTTTTTTATTCTTAACATCATTTCAGATTTGTTTTGTTTGGTTGATTTTGTTTAGCGACATATCAACACCTCTAATGAATGTTTTCAACTACAGATAAAATGTATTGTTGGTCATTTTACTATAAATAGTACAGGATAACTCTTGGGATGCGGCCGGCACCCAGCCATCTGAGACGTCTTTGGCAGAGCAGCGTGAACAAGCTGGACGTGCCGGCACGTTGGAGGATGTCTGTGTTAGTGACCCAGTCTTAACACTTAATGTGCAGGAGACGTCTGAGGCAGCAGAGGTGAAAGGTGTTTAACCTCTTCTCCTGACTGGCGTAAGTTGTCCAGGACTCGCTGCCGTACAGAAGGGTGCTGAGGACGCAAGCCCGGTAGATTTGTAGTTTGGTGTTCTCTGTCAGCTGGCTGTTGTTCCAGACTGCGACGGCTTTCCCTATCTTGGAGCTGATCTCGGTACCCAGACAGAGGGAGTTGGAGATGATCGACCCAAGGTAGGTGGAGAGTCCACCACCTCGAGGTGAGTGCCGTTGATGGCAACGTCCGGGGAGGAGGCGGTGTCTTTTGGTCGGTCTTTGTGAGGCTGATGGTCAAGCCGAACTTCTTGCAGGCATGGGCCAGACGCTGACTAATTCTTGCAATCCGTACTTCGTGTGGGACGTCAGCGCAGCGCTGTCGGCAAACAGCGATTCACGAACCTTGGTCTTAGCGCGCAGTCTGGCGATGTTGCAGAGTTTGCCGTCTGCTCTAGTGCGGATGTAGATGCCCTCCGTGCAGTCGCAGAAAGTGCACTAGAGAAGCATGGAAAAGATCCCAAAGAGTGTCGGCGCGAGGACGCAGCCCTGCTTTACGCCGCTGCTCACAGGGAAGGCGTCGGATGTTCCGCCGTTGTAGCAGACTATGTAGCAGACTATGCTGTGCATGTCCTCGTTGAAGGACTTAACCATCTGGAGCAGTCTTGGGGGGCATCCTACCTTCCTCTTCAGGAGGCCGAAGAGTCAGCTTCTGCTGACCAAGTCGAAGGCCTTCGTCAGGTCAATAAAGGCGATATACATTGGTTTCTGCTGCTCACGGCACTTCTTCTGCAGCTGGCGCAGCGAGAAGATCATGTCCACTGTAGATCGGCCCGCCCTGAAGCCACACAGCAACTTGAGGTACACACGTCAGAGATCCGTTCCTACCCAGCGACGTAACCTGATTTTCGGCGTAGGTTGGAACTCACCCCCATAAGCACCCACAAGTCTGCCTTACGTTTGGGAGCCATAATGTAAACGTTCCCCCCAAAACGACACAAATGAGTCAGAGTGAATGTACCAATTCAAACATGGCATATAGCCGGTAAAGAAACAACGTTGTCTCCATCATATAGGGGTATTATGGGTGATGGCGTCGTAACCATGTATCGCCGTACGTCGGGTTCGACGTAACTGGAGAACATTCTGTATTTCAATGTGAACATTTGTGTTCATATGTTTTATTGTTATCACAACGTTTCAACCTCAGACGGAGAATTCATCAGCAGATTCCAATTACGCTATTAGGGTTTATCCCACGGGACAATAGTCTAGTAGGTTAAAGAGTTGCTTCTTTAATTTGTAGACCCATTAATTGTGGGTTCAAGGCCTTGTAATTATTGGTTGGTTGTTTTCGCTCAACGGCATATCAAGATCTATGGGTTATTTAGTACATAAATTTTCCAAAATTCCTTTCGGTCCGGTACAGTAAGTGTTGCGAAACACTGCCTATCTCGCGACCCAAATCCAAACAAGGACCAGTTATATATATGAGCACAGAACTCGTAGAACTACTCTGTTCTCATAAGTCCCACCCACAAAGAAAAATAGAGAAGCGGGGATGCAGGCCTTAAGTAACAAGGTGGCAGACCTGCGCACACCACCCTTTCCGGTAAAACGATAAGAAAAACCAGAGATCGGAGCGGTCTCGCGTTGGAAAAGCAGCATGGCAAACACTCCGCCTCCCACATCTGACTGCAACCCATACATACGTATGTAATTTCACTTAATTTTCCCTAAAATCTAAATATTTCGTAGATAATTTTTTGGCGATAATAATAGTTTTAGTTATATAAGTCTTACTAATTAACCCATAGCTGGGGGAGTAGATGTGGATTCATACTTTTTCCCGAGCGTAATTACGCGAAAGTGAGCTGATACTGGGACCCGGCTCTCGAATTAACAATTCCAAACCATTATGCATTACACCACCCGCACATCCACACTTACAACACCTAGTATTACTAAGCGGTTTCTCATGTAAGTACTTACTAGGCTCGACGTTGCTTAACTTCTGTGATCGTGAGGAAACTGGCTTTTTGACATAATGTGGCCCGTTAGCAATAAATAAGCAGAAATAGTTAAGTACAGATCAATCTCGGTTCTCGAACGTCTCACGTGTTGAACAAATCGGTTTCCGAACAAAAATTCAAGATGAAAATTCCTCGGTTATCGAACAAAATTTTATTTCTCGAACAACGTAGCCGAACCGAGTTAACACGAATGGAATAATTTCTGTGTCGACAGCCGTGTTGTATGCATTCGTGTGTTGTGCCGTGCTTTTCTTTCCCAATTTTATTGTATTGTGACTCTCTTTTTTTTTTCTGCAAGGATTCCTAATGGAAAAATAATTTACGAACCTTTCAGGTTACGAACGGGCTTCAGGAACGAATTAAATTTCTGAGACGAGGTTCCATTTTATTAAACTATTTTCTGCCGGTAAATAATATAAACAAAAACACGTGAAAGAAGTTCATTATCATTGGTCTGAACCAGTTCTAAATGAAGACTAGTTCATATATAAAGACATCGAGTAGGCGTATTTACTATAGAAATACACTCATATAAAAAGAAATTGACTGCCTTTGTTTAAGATTTATTTTAAATATTACTGAAGAAAATGGTTGTGATATTTATAATGTAAATGCAAGATCAATGAGATTTATTAGTGAATTGCACCGTGAAGTGATTTACTATAGAATTGCATGGTAAATAAAGAAGTGGGGGTATTTTATGGAATAAAAAATAAAGAATAAGAGCTGCGTTGTTAAAAGGAGAGTAATGGATAGCGGCTCGGATTGAGGAATTGGAGAGCCGAGTTCGAATTCCAGACGAAACCATTACATTCACTTACGTGCTTGGGAAAGGTATGGATCCTTTTCTTCTCCCCTATGGGAAAATAACAGGACAGATCGGGTTCTATAGCCTTGGATGGCACCTGGTCTACCGCAGAAAGAAATGAGAATCTAATGTGAGAAAAAAAATCGAAAGATACATGATCGTCTAAGCGTGTATCACGTATGGCACATAACTGACTGACTGTTGTTTGTTAAAATCGCAGGTTTGGATAACATTTGTTTCAGTTAATTGTTAATAAATCTCTAAGACACATTGTTTTTTTTGTTTTTTTTTTACTTTTACCAAAGGTTTTATAGTTTTCTAGAATATAGGAAAATAAAAGGTAAACTTGCATTCGTTATAGTTTATAGATCCCACGTCATGTGGACATATGTTACAAAATAAAGAGATGGAGACGTTTAACAATACATGAATTATCTTCTGCGTCCGCCTGATTCAATCAAGGAACAAGCATGTTGGTATCTAATAACGTTTGACCATTTACGACTGCACTGAAAATCAGGACACATTCCTTTCCGATACAGATCCGTTTATATATATTTCCCGTGGCGAAACGAATGGAATTAATACGTATACTTAAATTACTTGACCAGTGAACATATAGTGTTTCATCCAGTTATTATGTGACGAGTCCTTTGAATATATCATTCAAAAGTTGTGTTTGCATGGAGTCACAGTCGATTCATTTTACGGACTTCTATATATTTAAAATCTACAGGAAAATAAAAAATACCACTATTTTTGTAGAAAGATGAGGCAAAAACCGCACAGAAAGAATATACGATGGCTAAAATACCAAGCGCACGGTTTATTTCTAGCAACGCAAGCAAACAGACGATAATGTTCTTTACCGGATTTCATCATGGCTGCTTCCGAATTATATACGATTCTCGGGTCTTTTGAACAGGAGTAAAGGTTTATCCATTTTTTTTTTCCAATTTAGGATTGGGTTTCCGGTTCCTTCTAAAGCCTTATTCATTCTCTTTCACGCCCATTAGTCCCTTGCGTCTTTGTGGCTTGGGGTTAATTGATTAAAAAATGTTTGTTCGCCAATTATCTCTCAGCTGAGCAAAGAAACAAATACATTCTTTATTTTTGTCTTACGGCTTGTTCAGCCAATGATGACTGTAAAACTTATCGGTTGATAATGGTTTATTTTCTTTTACTAAATTCCAACCAACAAAAGCCAGTGATGATAAAATGGTGCGGTCGAAATACTGATGATAAATGCAAGGCATGATATGAATGGAAGACAAATTAGTAGGAAATAAATCTGATTGGTTTCAAACAGTCTTTTCTCTAATATTTGATAGTATTTTGGACATTTAGTGTTCCAAGTCTCATTTTGATTTCTCCAAACAAACCTATCACGAATTCGAATATTGGCAGAATTTACTTTCATCTGACCAAATTACAGACAGCCAAAATTCATAAACTTTGCTCTCGAATTCTCTTGACCAGTCCATACGCCTGTTTCTGTTAACCTCTGATATCAAAGGTCTCTTTCTTGAAACTCTTCTTTGATAGCTCTTTCAGAATCTTTCTCACTGCATATGGCGACATTTCCATGCTGTTGGCGACATCTTTGATGCTCTGCCGACGGTTTCTGATAACTTCCCTCTTCAGCGCCATTTTCTTTCACTCAAACACGATGTTTGGTCTTCCTGGACGTTGTTCCACATTACAATGACCTTCATCATTAAATCTCTTGACAATATGATTAACCGTTTAATAATTAACCTGGAAAAAGCTAACAATTTCTCTATTTGACTTGCCATACTGATCCTATCCTATTATTTGCCCTTGTTGAAATTCACCAATTTCCTTATTTCCACGAACTTTCATTGCAAAATACAAGTCAACAATCATTCATAGATTACGGCAGCTTGATACTAACACGTTATAAAAGGAAAAAAAACGTTATTACAAAAGCCAATCAAGGGTGGCTAAAAAGCTTATCATAGCCCACTGTATAAATACAGATTAGCCTACGTATAGACTCAATTGTAAAACTTAAATACATCTAGCTATAGATCTAAGTAGAGACACAATCAAAAACTACCTATAGAATCCAGTGATACGACCTGTACGTGACGCCGTCTACATGTAGACTGATGTATAAACACAGGTGAAGTTTGTCTATTGACTAGTATAAAAACGACCAAGAACTTTCTTTTGCCTCTAGTATAAAAACGACCAAGAACTTTCTATTGCCTCTAGTATAAAAACGATCAAGATCTTTCTGTTAACTCTACTATAAGACAACCAACATCTTTCTATTGATTCTAATGTAAAAACAAAAGATCACTTTCTATTGACTTTAGTATAAACACGAAAAAGAGTTTTCTATTTACTCTAATATAAACACGACCGAGCTCTTTCTATGGAATCGAGTATAGGAACGACCAAGATCATTATATTGACTCTAGTATAAACACGACCAAGATATTCTCTAGTGACTCTAGTATAAACGCGACCAAGATATATTCTATTGACTCTAGTATAAGGACGACCTTGTTCTGTATATTGACTCTAGTATAAACACCATCTATATTTGCCTATTGATTCTAGGATACACCCGACCTACGCCTACCTTTAAACACTACTGTGCTACTTTTTACCCCCCACCCATTTAAATCTACTTCCCACAGGTCTCTCTTTCTCCCCCTCTATATTTACACTTTTATTTCTTTAGTTTCAGTTGCTCCTTCTCTCTCTTTCTAAACAAACTTACATGACATGCCTTATTCTCTCTTCTTCCCCTTCTACTCTCTCTCTCTTATTCTCATTTTATTTCTCCTTCTCTCTCTTTCTAAACAGACTTTCAAGACATGTCTTATTCTCTCTTCTTCCCCTTTCACTCTCTCTCTTATTCTCATTTTATTTCTCCTTCTCTCTATTTCAAAATTTCGGCCTTCCCCTTTGAAATCTATTCCCTTTCCTTTTTATCCTCTCTGTCTCTCCTCTACTATCTTTTTGCTGCTCTGTATATCCCCATTACCTATTTTGAAATTTTTATCTATTCGTATTTTTTTCTTTCCTTCCATTTTCCCGTCTCATTTTCGCTTCTCTCTCCCTTTTAAACCTATATCTTGCATTTCCCCGTCAACATTCGCAGTATAGTTGGCTTTGAAGCCTACGAACTCACTTCTCACAGTTTTATTGAAGTCAATCGAAACAAGAAGAATGCGACGCAAAAGAGACAGATAAGTTTGAAACAAATCAGGGTAGCGCTGGGAAGCTATTTCAGTGCAAATTAATAATAACGACATGAATAAAGCGACACGAGCCCGCTTCAACAATTACGGACAATGCGATAAGAAAGATGGCTGACAACAGCAGAAAGCAGACGACATTTGATTGTTTTTACAGCTATGAATAATAATAATAATAATAATAATAATAATAATAATAATAATAATAATAATAATAATTCTATTGCGTTGTGAACATATTTAAAAATATGTTTGAAGTGCAGAAGACCATCTGGGTTCTGTTATTTAAATTCAATCAATGTTCGCTTCTTATTTGGCTGAAGGTTTCATTTTAATTTCGTTGACTATTCATACATTTCATAAGATTGTTTTCTTTAAATATGTTTTTTTTAATATTACCATTTATTTTTCTAAGGTAATATTTCTTCCTCGGGTTTACGGTCATATCATATTGAAATAACGGCTCTCGTCCGCTCACCGAAGTTAAGCAACGTCGAGCTTGGTCAGTACTTAGATGGGTGTTCGTTTTGGAATACTAGGAGCTGTAAGCTCAGATGTTCTGGTGGTACAATGGATGACGGCTCGGGATGGGAAATCGGAGAGCTGAGGTCGAATTTCAATCGGGTTCTTTACATTTACTTAACGCATAAATGCGATTATGAATCGAAATAAAACATGATGTCCCATACGTCTCTACTAAAACGCCTTGAAACAGTTTATCCGTAAATCTGCGGAAGGCCTGCGTCCAACAGAGAATCATCACAGGCTGAGAAAAATATTTTTCTTTTCTTTCCTTGCCATCTTTGAGAGATTTGGTGCAAAAAGAATATCTACAAAGAATAAGAAATATATGTCTTGCAAAGTGACTTTGTGTTGTCCACTGTACTGAATTTTATATATAAGTAAAATAAAGTAATTTTGGAAAAAAAAACAATACATCATCCTTTAGATACATCCATTTTTTCCATTCCTCTTCTTCAATGTGCAATAACGTCAGCGATCATGGCTCTCCCCAACTTCATATTCTTCGTTGCCATTAGCAAGTTTGTACATTTTTTTTATCTCTTCTTTAACCTAGTCTGTCATCCACTTACAGCCTTTAGGTAGGTAGGTCGGTTACTTAATGTATATTTCTGGTTTTTCTTTTGATTTCAATACTTATAGTGACAGTTAGTATTTTCAAGACTTTTCCTCATTTTATATCTCAACAATTTCAGCTGTTTCAATATTGTTCGTTTTGCTTTTATTGATACCAGAAGGTGTGGCATAGGAGTTGCTCTACAAAGACCCGAGACATGTCATCTCTGAAAGGCTTTACGCAATCATCAAGATCTTTATCTCAGGTAGGCCCATAAAGGTTGTTGCGAATGCTCAGCCTTCTAAAGCTCACGAGAAGAAGACAAGGATCCATCAAATCTTTCTATTCGGTTCTAACCCCTTTCTGTTTTTTTTTTTTTTTTTTTTTTTTAATATTAAACCTACACGCAAGCAAATAGAGGTCTGCTGGTGGGCCGCCGATGGCAACGCCAACGGTCCTCTGTTTTCAGCTACCGGCAGATCATTGGCGGGCCACTAGTGAACCTCTAGCGGTCCGCCAGTGGTAACATTGCCGAGACGAACACGCCGGCGGTCCGACAGCGGGCCACCAGCGGTAAACGCTAGCGACCTACCAGGTTGAGAATTGGAGCGGGCTAGCTGCCCTTGATGAGGGTGAAAGGAGTTTCTTTTAGCTTTGGTTAGCAATCCTTTTAGTGTTGGTTTCACGATAAAAAGGAATCAGATAGGAAGGAAAACTCATGACTGCTTAACCCAGTCATTATTTTGCATGTATCTGCCGAGAGGCATGTACTGGCTGATATTGACTGTGATCTGGAGAGGTTAAACTCCCTAATAATAACACATGAGGACTGCCGTTCGAAGTTTCCGTGGCAAGTAAAGTTTCCGTTACTGTTTTTATCGACAGATCCAAATGTGTTGGTTTTCTGACAACTACATCTAATTAGTCTCATACATTTCCGGCTACTGCGAAAAACTCTACGAAACAACATCATCTTCAACTTGGCACTTGGAATGTACGAACTCTCCAGGACAACAACTCAGCACCAGAAAGAAAAACAGCTCTGGTCGCATTAGAGCTAAAGAAGTACAACATTGATATAGATGCACTGAGAAGTAACCATCAGTCGACTACAAGAAACGAGAAAGCAAAATAAGACATCTAACAGTGTTCCTGCTGCATTTGGATACAATACATTCTCCTGTACTGTTTGTGGTCTTTTGTGCAATTCCCGAGCCGGTCTCAAAAGTCATGCTTGTCCTAGGCATGCAGATAATTAGTTCGTGGTCTTCGGAACCTCATACGTCGAACTCGACGGGAGAGTCCATCATATAAGTTGTATTTCTATTTGAGTCAAAGAATACTCATGTTAGGTAATATATATGAATAAAGTGTCGCTGCCGACACTTGAGTTTTAACATAGATCGCCAGTGAGCAAACACAGGCTATCTTTTTATTGAATTAAGTAAACCACGTGACCATAGCAGAAACGCATATATGCAGGAGGTAGCTGAAGACTAAAGATCGCTATTTCTAGTCTATCCTCTATACTATACGAATCACTATTTCTCTTCAATCCTCTATTACTATACGGACTGCTATTCTCTACTCTATTCATTATACTATTTCTCTATTCAAATCACTATAATGATTACTATTCGAGCGAGTATTATCGAGCAAGTACTATTAGTGCAAATGATACTTGAAGGCGTTTGACACCAGTATTGTTCAACGGCCTTACTGTAGTTGTATCTACAAAGTCTTTACTGCAACGATCATTACAAAAGTGACAACGAGTATTCGTTGACATCACAAAATTAAGTTTATACTTTTGACTGTATGCAGGCTATGTCGTGTTTTTACTTGATTCTATAGGTATACATAGGTCATATTTGTACGTAAGTTAAGGATAAACATATGCAGTATTTAAACTAGAGTGCATGAGACTATAGGTAAACATAGATTAAGTTTGGAATTTTAACGACATGGTTACACTTTTGATTTGTATAATATTAAAATCAGTTATGTGTTTACAGTCTATAGGTGCACCTAATCTGGTTCATGCTAGCGTCGATACAGAAATATAAAAAAAAGAATAATGCTTGCTAATGCTACATTTAATTCAAATAACAGACAATATTATTAGTACTTATATTACTCGTGGAAAAATCAATTGAAATGAAGCTGAAAGAAATCTTAGTCAAAAATGAATAATTCATGACAAATTTTTATCTAATACAAATTTCAGATAATATTGCTACTATTAACACTACTGTTAGAAATACAGAAATTAAAATGACGATGCAAGAAATTCTAGTAAAAAATGACTAATGTTTGACAATGCTTCATGTAATAAAATATCCAAATAACATTACGACTACTAACACTCCTAGTGGAAATATAGCAATTGGAATGAAGTTGAAAGAAATCCTAGTGAAAAAATGACTAATGTTTGACAATGATTCATGTAATAAAATATCCAAATAACATTACGACTACTAACACTCCTAGTGGAAATATAGCAATTGAAATGAAGTTGAAAGAAATCCTAGTGAAAAAATGACTAATGTTTGACAATGATTCATGTAATAAAATATCCAAATAACATTACGACTACTAACACTCCTAGTGGAAATATAGCAATTGAAATGAAGTTGAAAGAAATCCTAGTGAAAAAATGACTAATGTTTGACAATGATTCATGTAATAAAATATCCAAATAACATTACGACTACTAACACTCCTAGTGGAAATATAGCAATTGAAATGAAGTTGAAAGAAATCCCTAGTGAAAAAAAAATGACTAATGTTTGACAATGATTCATGTAATAAAATATCCAAATAACATTACGACTACTAACACTCCTAGTGGAAATATAGCAATTGAAATGAAGTTGAAAGAAATCCTAGTGAAAAAAATGACTAATGTTTGACAATGATTCATGTAATAAAATATCCAAATAACATTACGACTACTAACTCCCTAGTGGAAATATAGCAATTGAAATGAAGTTGAAAGAAATCCTAGTGAAAAAATGACTAATGTTTGACAATGATTCATGTAATAAAATATCCAAATAACATTACGACTACTAACACTCCTAGTGGAAATATAGCAATTGAAATGAAGTTGAAAGAAATCCTAGTGAAAAAATGACTAATGTTTGACAATGATTCATGTAATAAAATATCCAAATAACATTACGACTACTAAGAAATTGAAATGAAGTTGAAAGAAATCTAGTGGACAATGATTCCTAGTGGAAATATAGCAATTGAAATGAAGTTGAAAGAAATCCTAGTGAAAAAATGACTAATGTTTGACAATGATTCATGTAATAAAATATCCAAATAACATTACGACTACTAACACTCCTAGTGGAAATATAGCAATTGAAATGAAGTTGAAAGAAATCCTAGTGAAAAAATGACTAATGTTTGACAATGATTCATGTAATAAAATATCCAAATAATATTACGACTACTAACACTCGTAGTGGAAATATAGCAATTGAAATGAAGTTGAAAGAAATCCTAGTGAAAAAATGACTAATGTTTGACAATGCTTCATTTAATCAAAATTTCAGATAATATTGCTCTTACAAATACTAGAAGTGGAAATGAAGTAGTTGTAATGAAGATGAAAGAAATTCTAGTTAAAAACGAATAATGTTTGATTATAGTTCATCTTTTTCTATGGAAATAACGATAGAGTAGCGATAAGTTTGAGATTGAATAGACATTCAAAAACATGGAGCCTCGATGAAAGTCGAATGGTAGATTTGTAAATGTGCAAGGTGGATCCAGACGAGAAACAATTTCTGGTACGACAAAGTCACCAAACTTGCACTAGATGCAGCTATTGATTCAATGAAGTCGCTCAACTTCATGTCAGTTGAGAAGGTGCAGCCAAGGAGGCACAGTGTATTGCTATCCAGGAGTCTGGTGTCAGGAACGCTGATGGCAGGCAGAAAAACTTCACTATGGTGGTTCAATGAAACCAGTTTTGTTTCGGACGCGTTAAAATTTACAAGCAATTTCTTGTCCCAGTTATCCTAGTGTAAAATGAACTTTTATTTATAAACTAGCAGCATGGCCCGGCGTTGCCCGTGCTTGATTAAAAAATCGTACGACTCATACAGCAATCGCTATCACTTGACTTAAAATATTTTTGCCCTTCCTTGCCTTTAAAGTAGTGCCCTTTGCCGTGCTGATGTTGCTACATGCCTTGCTTCTTGCATATCTCACACTGCGAATTTTTTCTAAGCTCTATACTAAACATTAAATCTGTTACGAAAAAAGAACTAAACAAAATGAACACAAAACGATCAGCTTTAAAAAAGGAATCGTAACTGGAAAAACCGAATGAAAAAAGAATGTTAACAACAAATACTTTTTCACACCCAACCCATTTCTGCGGAATCAGAATCAACGTTGAGTTTAAACAAGCGAATGAGCCAATTGGAGTAAAGTGCCATGCAGATTTAAGTTT